GAATTCAGCATGCAGCGTTTTTTCCTGCTAGTCTGGGTGCTCCTCTGTGACTGGAAAAATCAGCACTTGGCTCTCCTGACTATTTTCTCTGGGTTTCCAAACAACAGACACAACAGTCTCCTCCAGCAGCGTTGCTGTGAGCAGGGGTGGGCCCACTCCATGACTGGATGGGGGGCCTTGGGAATGTCCCCAGAGCTGGGCTCGCCCTCGGTGGCACCTGCAACACCACTGGCACGGGGCCTGCTGTCCTCACAAGGGGCTGGGGGACACTTTGGCACAGTGTTCCCCCTACCCCATGGGTGTCACAGCCCCACACAAGCCCAGGGAGCTTGTATTGATAAGCACTGGTAGGATTGTTATTAAATTCCAGAGTCCAGGTCTCAGCCCAGACCATCCTGCCATGGGCACCTTCCCAGGAGGTGAGCACCAGGAGCCCAGGATGGCAGGAATGACCCCCAAAGGCCACCCAAACCAAGCACAGGTGAAGGGCAAGAACTGCTGATGCTGCCCTGAGAGCCTCACCCCAATTCCTGTGATCCCACAGGAGCTGGGACCCGCAGTGCTGAGAATCCCATTAGCCCATGGAGCAGCAGTTCTGCTGCCACCACTGTCCCTCCATCCCTTGCTGTCACATGGCTGCACACTCAGCTGGAATGCCCATGCCATGAGGACAACTCTCCCAGCCCTGTTCCTAAAGGCTGAAGGGCTTTTATTTAAACACTAAAGGTTGTTGGCAACATCCAGGGCCAGGGATACAGCCAAGGAAGGGCTCCTTGTCCCTCTCCCGGGGTCCCTCTCGCTGACAGGAACTGCTTTTGAGGAAACCACAGGGAGAGGAAGAGCAGCCACGGGTTCCCACTGTCAGTGAGTCAGTGACACACCAGCAGGACTCTGTCACTGCCACACTGTCCCCACACTGCCCGGACAGGCGTCGAGGGATTTCACACATAGGGAACTGAGCCTGAAGGCTGCAAGAGGTCACAGGGCCTGGAAAACCCTCGTGGGTCTGAGCTCTGCTGACCAGAGCAGAGTGGCAGCAGTGGAGCTGACTTCTGGTCAGTCATTTATTGCTAAAACCATTTTTTCACGCCATTAAATTAGCCTATGAAATGGTTCTGCCTTTCTGCCCTCTCCCCTGCCATGTCCCCCACGGACCCACAATGCCCATTCCTGCACAGGGACATGCTCTGCCCTCCCAGGGGAGCAGGGCTGCCAGAGCTGCACAGCCCATGGCAAAGGCACAGGGTTTAATGCCATTTCTGTACTCGAGCAGCACCGGCAGCCTGAGGCAGGTGAGGATTGAGGGAAATTTTTCTTTCCCTCAATCGCTCTCCTTGGTCACACAGTCTGGGATGAGAGGATCTGGGCTGGACCCGACACTTTTACTCCTTCCTCCCAGAAGCAGCCTGCAGGGAGTCCCATCCCTGGGCTCCAGGAGCATCACTTGGGCGTGCAGTGAGCCCTGCACCCTCGGCTGGGGGGCTGCAAACCTCCCAGTGAGTCCTGCAGGCGGGCAGTGCCGGAGCCAGCACGGGGGCTGATCCCACCCTGACCCCCGGATCACGGGCAGCGAGGAGCAGACGGGCGCCACATTTTCCGAGACACGTGGCACAAACGAGGTGTTCCTTCCCCAGGAACTGCAGCCCGGTTTCTGCTTCGGCAATCACCGGAGAAGCAGCAGGAGCCCGCGTGCAAACCCCTCCTCACCGCGATTACTGGGGTCTAGACAGGAAACTCCGTCTCTCCCGCCGAGCGAGGGCTGACACACGCTCTGCCTACTCACACCAGAGCCCAGAGACACGGCAGCGCAGCTCTGAAGTCACGCTGGAGGCTGTTCCGGTCCAGCCAGACCTGCCAGGCTGGTGGTATCTGTTCCCCGAACACCACCCCGCATCCCAAACCCCACCTCCAGCTTCCCCAGCTCACAGCTTTCATCTGCACTCGGCCTGGACTTGCAGCCCTCGTTAACCCTTTGTCCTCTGAGCCCCTGGTTTGGGCTTCACCTCGGCACCCTCTGAGCTGATGCATTTCCCTGGGAAGGTGTGTTCGCCCCTCCAGGTGGATCCTCCTCTGCTGCCACAGCAACCACAGCCCGCAGGAATTCCCAGTGAAACGCCAGAACTGCGCTGCTGGTTCGGGTCCCTCATTAACCTAAAGGTGGCTGCTGATGTCTGCAGCCTCTGATTTCACTTCTAGAGCTGTAGCTCCAGTGCTCACCAGTCAGGAGCCCAAGGGAACGTGGCAGCAGCCCCAGGGGACATGGCAGCAGCCCCAGGGGACATTGCAGCAGCCCTAGGGGACATGGCAGCACACTGGCCCAACAGCTTTGGTGGCTGCATGACCTGCGAGCTGCTGATCCAGAGCTCCTGCCCACTCACACTAGTGCCCTAAGCTGCTACCTCCTTCCCCCAGCTTCTGTGGGCCTCTGGCCACCTAAAGTGGGCACCCAAACCAGCCCCAGATGCCACTGCCTGAAGCCCCAGAAATCCAGGGAAGGACAGAGAAAGGAGACTGGCTTTGGGAAGGTGGCGGAGGGAAGTAGCCACATGACACTGAGCTCCCAGAAAAGCCCCACTCCTGGCTTGGTCAGGCTCTGCAGGAGGCTGGGCAGTGCCCCGGGGTCTGTCCCCCTGCAGTCACACCGGGAGTGTGGCAAGGCAGTGATGAGGAAACACGGAGGGCACGGCAGGAAGCAGCTGATGTGTCAGCCAAGGGCTCCGGCTGCAGCGAGGAGCCGGTTCCTCCCCCTGGGGTACAAGTCCCACGGCCACTTGCTATAGAGATTTTATTTTACCACAGTGCAGAATACACTTTGTGGGGTGTTACTGAAGCTTATTTCAGAGGAACAGCCTCTGACCAACCCCTGCCAGCCCCCACTGCTCCCAGGAAAAGGCCAGTGTGTTCCCATGACCCAGGCACAGCTCACTCAAACAGGGAGGGATGACCCGGGACTGCAGGTCCTGTCAGAGCTGGAGAAGCTTCTCCCCCACAAAGTAAGAAAAGGGAGCTGGAAGCTGCATGGAAGAGGGCACGTGGGAAGGGAGAATTAATTGCAGCTACACATTTCCAGGTGGACAGCACACTTTGTACGCATCCCAAAACCGAGCCAGCTGACCCGCCCCAGCACAGGACAAGCTCTTGAATCCTCACATGTTCCCACCATAGGCCACCCACCAGCTCTCATCCACTCCCTTATCTGTGGTGACAGCCCCCTGATCCCCTCCTGCCCCTCACAGAAAGGGCTCTGCCATCTGCACTGGGACACGAGACCAACACAGAGCCACTGCCCTAACCCAGCTGGGTCTGGGCCTCCTGCAGAACAACTGAGAAGATGCCCCCAAAAACCCAGTGCAGTCAATGTCTCCCAGCCCACGGTTTCCCAATTTCTTTAAGCTAATCCTACTGCCAGCAACAGTCCCTTCCCCAGCCAGGAAGGGCTGCAGCACTTGGGAACGAGACAAACCACAGCCCTGATGATCTGTCTCAAAACCAGCCCCAAAGGAAGTGTTCTCACCTAAATCTGCTTTCTGGAAGCAGGCTTGCCATGCTAATGACTGCCTGGCACTGGGATGGAGGGATGGAAGAGATGACCAAGGACTCCTCCTTGGGCAGTAGAGCCAACCCCACAGGCTGGGCCTCCCACCACCTCCTGGGGGCCCAGGAGCTGGGATCTGCACCTCTCCTGCCCCTGACTGCAGATGTGCCACCAACCTGGCCCATACTCTCCCCTTCAAGCTCTTGGGAGCCTTCCCCACTTCCAAGGCTTCCTGTAGCCTCCCTAAATCAGGCAAGGGCTGAACCTGTGTGTGGTCAGTACAGCTGCATGGAGTAAAAACACCACCTCCCATGTCATCAGAGATGCAGCCAAAAATAGGACTGGCCACTCACACAGCCCCATCTGACAGGCAACACATGTGCACCTCCCAGGAACCCTTCCCAGGAGGAAGGGTGGCTGTGCAGCCAACAGCTCCACCAACAGAGCCACAGGGCCCATCAGGGAAGGTACCACCACAGAACCACAGAATCAGCTAGGCTGGAAAAGACCTCTGATATCATCAAGTCCAACCTCCGACCCAACACTACCTTGTCACCCACCCTGGCACTCAGTGACACGTCCAGTCTCTTCTTAAACACCTACAGGGACGGTGATTCCACCACCTCCCTGGGCAGCCCATTCCAATGGCTGAGCACTCTCTGTACAACATTTCTTTCTAATATCCTACCTAAACCTCCCTGGCACAGCTTAAGACCCAGCCCTCTTGTCCTACTGCTGGTTGCCTGGGAGCAGAGCCCGACCCCCACCTGGCTACAACCTCCTGTCAGGGAGTTGTAGAGAGTGAGGAGGTCTCCCCTGAGCCTCCTCTTCTCCAGGCTCAACAACCCCACCTCCCTCAGCTGCTCCTCATAGGACTTGGCAGCTCCAGCCCTGCCTGAAAAGAGGGAGGGGAGAAGAGAGGAGGGCAGGGAGCTGATATCCAATGGCCATGTTGGGATGCAATGCCCACTGCCATGTCCTAGGAAGCTCTGGGGGACTACAAGCCATGGCTCTGGGGGGCTGCCACCAGCCCCAGCTGGTGTGGGAAGCACACACTCCTGGAAGCACCAGCTGGGCCGGGCTGTGCGGGCAGCACCACGAGCCAGCCCTCGCCGCGCACGCTTCTGACCAAGGCGTGCCAGCACAGCCAACCTGCACACCCTGGCACGGCTGGGTACAGCCAAACACTGCCAGGAGACTCGCCCCTGCCATCACCCTGTTCCTCAGCTCTCCCTCGCCCTTCGCTCCCCACCACGAGCAGCGCTCGCTCCCCGACCAGCTCCGCGCTGTTTGCTTTTGGCAGCGGCTGCGGAAAGAGTCCATCAAATGCAAACACAATTACAGCTCACACCCTAAGAAGAAAAGGACTTGTGGTTAACAGAGGTGGCCCGTGGCCTTTTGACACGGCAGGGAAGCCACCTCCTGCTCCAGCCTCCCACCTCTGCTCCCGTTGCATCATGCTGCTGGAGAAGCTGGTGCTTCACGAGATGACGCACCCGGACCTTGCATTCCTGGCAGATTAAAGAGCCAGCATCCACAGATTCCACAGCAACAAAAAACTATTAATCAGCTCCTCTTGGATGGGCTTTTGATGATCAAAGCACTGTCTTTCCTCCAGCGCTGTGATTCAGACACCTCTGCCTTCAGGGAGAGCTGGTCAGGCACCGCCAGCCCCGCGTGTGGCAGGGCCTTGCCTTGAGCCGGTGGTTGAGCACAGCACGGCCCAGCATTCCCAAACAGCCCCGTGCTCCCTGTGGGAACAGGCACAGCAGCCCTGCCCATCCATGCTGCGGTTCACCTCCTGCTCACAGGTGAGTTTCCTGTGTCAAGTCATGGTTTATCACTCAAGGTTGACTTTTGCTCTTCAAATACCATTTCTCTCACATCACCTCAGCAAGAGGCTCAACCCTTGACCTGCAAACACAGATCTGCTTGAGCCCAAACAAAACTGTTCCCATGGAAATGTCAGGATCTAGCACTGGAACATGCCTACTCATTTCAGCCTGTTCTTTCTTCTTCCCCTCCTTTGTTGCTTTCTTTTTTATTGTTTGTTTTTTTCTGATTTTTAAACTGTTTTTCTATGGACTTGTTTTATACCCAGCTTGTGAGAACAAAGCGAGGTGGCAGGTCCCTTCCCAGGGAGCACCTCCCTATGGATCACAGCTTGTTTGGCTACCAGCCACCCGATTCTGGCATCCCACTCTCACGCTCAGAGGGCTTCCGTCGAGGAACGCTGCGGTCCCCAGGCATGAGGCAGTGCCTCAAACGGGAGCCCTGACACAGCTCATCTTGTGACACCGTCCCAAAAAACCTGCTGCGAGCCAAGAGCTTCTGTATCCCCCAAAGTTAATTCAAACCATTTTTGGAATTCCCCAAGGGAAAGTGATCAACAGATCCTGAGCTAGAGCTGGGAGCATGTGGGTGGCTGGAGAAGGATCTTTCCTGGGAGGAAGGCAAGTCGTGCTGCCCACGTGCGGGGGGCCAGGCAGGAGGGGCAGCCCGAGCTGCCCTCACTCTTGGGGTCACCACTGCTGCTAAGGGGGCTGGAAATGCCCAAATTCCCTGCAGAGAACAGCACTCCGAGTCGTGCACCCTGGGCAAGGCAAACATTTCAGTCAGCCTGAGACGATGTGCAGAGGACGTGCCCTCTGCGTAACGGGACTTCACTGGGAACCCAGAAATGGGAAGGAGGTGAACCTGCTGAACAGCACCCAGCTGCTCCTGCTCCGGGAGAAGCCAAAATAGTGGGCACCAGCAACGGGGTGGGGTGGGTCTGCAGGCAGCCCTACGCCCTGGTGGGTCCACCCAGCGCTGGTCCTCACCCAGTTCAACACCGTGGCACATGTACACACTGGGAATTAGCACTCTACAGCAACCACCAAATATTTAGATCTGCTCCAAGACTTTCCAAGCAGAGTTATTGCTCTCAGGAAGTTGCCCAGAGTTTGCTCAAGAGTGAATGATGTGCAATAGGAAGGGAGCCCAGCTGCTTTCTGACGACAGCTGCTGACAGAAGCATCATGATGTCATTTACCTAAGAGGAGAAATGATGATTCAGACCCTTGGGTTTCCCCTTCCACAAGGTAACGGGGACCCTCAGTCCCTTCAGAACCATCTGGATTTAAGTGTAAGAGAGGACATCAAACATAGGAGTGCATGTGCCAACTCAGGAGGATCTTCAGAAGCACCTGCCTGCAGAACTGCTGGTGCAAATCCACCTTTATTGCGTCCCAGTCCTACCACAGCACAACCAGCAGGGCTTCCCCCACCATTATCAAAGCTCCTCGAAACCCTGAGGAACACACTCTGAAAAAGCTAATTTGGGAAAGCCCCCACTGCCTCCCATGCTTGGTATCTTCAAGAGGAGAAGGGGCAAGGTAAGGGGTAGAAAGGCTGGCAGGCAGGAGGACTTTCTGCCCCAACCTGTGGCAGCTGCAGGGACCCACTGCTCCAAGCCACAGGACACAAAGTGCTTCCAGCAGAGCAGGAGACAGTTACTCTTTGTGACTGGGAAATGAGGATTATTCCAGTGAACTCCTGCACCCTACCCTGATGTGAACTACTACAAAAGCAAACCGGTGGGAACCTTTCAGTAGGTGGCAGCAGAAATGTATTATCAGCCCAGAGGATTCCTTTTGGGACACCCCTTCTTGGCACAATTCCCCATTTAAAGCAGTTTCCAGGGGTATGTTGCTCCAGGTCAGATACTGCACCCTCACCAGGCTTATGACAGCAGAGTCAGGTCAAACACACAGAACCTGGGGAGAGGAAACTCCCCCCGGTGCTGAAAATCCACCCGCTCCGTTTCGGCGGAAGCGTCTCTCACCAAACCGCCTCTTGCAAAATGTGGTAAGTTCCCTAACCCAGTGCCTCGGTTTCTGTGGTCCTGCAGAGCCAGTGTGGCTCACCAGGACACCTCCAGGCAACAGGACTTTTGCAAAAACCACACCACACCTTTCAGCCTTTGCAGTCCCTCCCGGCCAGACGAGGCCACTTCAGACGAAAAACTGCTTCCATAAATTTCAAAGACAAATCAGCAACAAAAAGATGGTGTCGGCTCCCAACTAGGCAGCATCCCCCCTCTAATTCAGATCTCACTGAACTCAAAGCAGCCACGTGGTCACTACCAACCCGTTTAGCAGCAGAGCAGGGGGTGACCCGGGCATGGGGCCAGCAGGAAGCAGGAGGGCTGCCCCGCATACCTGGGAGCAAGGTGTGGCTTTGTAAAGCTGACTCAGGGCTGGGTCAGGGCTCCCTGACAGGCAGGAGCACGCTTTCCAAATAATCGTTTCCTGTTCTCCCCAGGCGAGATGGAGGAGGAGGAGGAGATGGAAGCAGGATGGAGGTTTATCGGGCACAAACAATCCCCCTCCCCAGAGCTGCCTGGCACAAGGGCCAGCCAGGAGCCACTGCAGGGGCTGGTGACTAAGGCAAGGACAGCAGTGCTGGGGTTGTGACTAACTATTACTCATGCAAGGAGGAATTTGGAGAGGGACCCGCATCCAGCTCGGCTCGTTGCTTTGGATACTTTTGCAGCCATAAGCACAAAGGAGAGCTTTGACAATGAATCAGACCCTGCTTTACAATGACAAAGACAGACTTATCGACCAACTTGGTGTTAAAATTTCAGTGCAATCATAAAAGCAGCTTAATGCTAATCAGAGGAAACAAGACATGTTTTCAGACCCAGATGACTAAATGTAGGCTCCTGGATGGACAAAACCAGCAGCAGAAGTGGGTTTTTTAACTAATCATAATATATTTCACTTTCCTCTGAATTACAAAGGAATGTGAGTGTACTGGCAACAGTTCCTTGAAAAGCAAGTTGTTTAGGGTTTTTATAAATCAAGAGCAACCCTCCCCCAAAAAACCCCCTAAAACGAGTTCTGGGATACCTTTATTTTGAAAGCATGTCTAGAACTAGCCTCTAAAAGAAGTTAAAAGGAAGCAAACAACCCCCATGTTAATTATTCTCCTGCTTTTAAAATCTACAATTATCCACCTAAAAATAAAGTAGGGACAGCGAAAGCAAAGAGTCATCAAATTCCAGTTCTCCCTTCATGAAGCCTTTGCCCTCTCAGCTGGTTTGTGTGCTTACTTTGCAGTCTGCAGTGCAGGGAAGACTAACAAAGAATTACTAATTAAGCAACCGCTTGCAAAAAATCTGTGAGTTTGAAAACTTGTTGCGGTGAATGATTGGTCCAGATAGGAGATCCAGCCTTGCCAATGCATACCCACACATGTGATGATATAAATACACGTCATTCCACTCACATCAGCATCACCCCACAACCATTCTTCACAAAAATGTGGTGAGATACTCAAGTTTTTATAAGCCATCCCAGGTCTAAAGGCTGTAGATGACCCTTCTGGAGAGCTGGGAATCCCCTCTGAAATGCGAGGGTTTCTTTCTCCCTGTGCCTCTTAAGATTCCAAAGTCGTGTTTTGTAACCAGTGGTTTGTGCACTATTTAACACATGACAAGCTTCTTACACAATTTTCAAAGCAGAACATAGTGTTATTTGATCTTTATCAAACAAATCTAACAGACGAGTAAGAGCCGGTACCTAAACAAACCAACCTCCTTCCCTGGGAGGACTGAGGAGCACTTGTTGCCTTTAAGAGCTGCAAGGTGCTCACTGCACACAACCGACTTCCATCTGTCTGGGATGAGGGATGACTCAATCAGACAACAGAGAAACAGCCCAAAACACCCATGAAGTTCAGAACACAATCCTTTTGCCACCCTCACTTTTGACAAACAACAGTCAGACAGACCACAAGGCTCTGAACATTAAGAAGTGAAGTCAGAGATTCCTCACAGCTGTGAAGGCCTGTTCTTCATGTTACCATCAGCAGTCAGTTTAGTAGACAGGAAGAATTAGAGCAGCACTAGCTGTGCCCCAGTTCCTCCAGTTTTTACCTTAAATTTGTATGGCCCTAGCCCAATGTCAGAGGGCCTCTTCACAAAGCAGGATTTTGTGCTCATAGTGTTAATTCTGTGTCCATTACACTCTCGACCTCCTCACTGTTGTTTTATCATTCTAAAGCCTATTTTTTCTCATTGCTCAGAGTATTTTTCATTTCAAAAATCAAGAATGAGAGCACAGATTCTCCTCCCTGTAGGACAGCCAGACCTATAGGAAAAAAAAAATGACCTTTGGTTACTCCCTTCTTCAAAACAAGGCTCTCATGGAGGGCAGACCACTGGTAACAGCTCTGCCCATGCAGGCTCTGCTCGCCCACAGGAGTGCCTGTGGATGCTCCACAGCTGACAGCAAGCTCAGGCAGGCAGCTGGACCACCCATGTCCTCAGAAAGCAAGTTAAGCCTCCAGCTTTGCAGCCTGAAATGCAGGAGCAAGCCCTCAGTGAGGGCACAGACTTAGGCTTGGAGGACACAAGCCAACAGAGTCAAGATGAAACACATTTCCCAGGAACTTCAGCAGGTCCAAATGTCTGTGTCCAGAGGAACCTGCCCAGACACCCACACACCCAGAGCCACACAAGATGCAGGGTATTGCCTGGCCTGGTCCCCACTGAGGGCCTGGCAAGGCTCTGTCTGCAGCTCATTTTCACACCAACACCCATCAGTTGTGGAGCTCCCACAGCTTCCTCCTGAAAAGTCCATACGAGCCCAAATGTATGGTAAATTCACTTCTGTACTCCATTTGTCCCCACATTAGGGGTCCTGCTTCCCCCTACAGCAAACAGAGGGACTGACCTTGTCTATGAAACAAGGGGCAACTTCTGTTACAAGGTGTGTTTAAAATCCCGTTCCCGGTACGTGCACGTAGCCAGCAATGGAATGGGAGAACAGCACCTTCATCCAGAGTAAAATCTGCTCCAGGCCAATGCACAGAGGGTTATTCTTGAGGCTTCTCCTCTCCAAAGCAAACAGAAGCATTCCTTATTTTCCCCCTGTTTAGTCAAAAAGCCCACCACACATTCCTGGGCACAGGCCTACCCCGAGCCAAGCAGGGGGTGAGAACCTCTGCACTGTAGATCCCTGGAAGAAACTGGGCTAACTCAGGAACGTCCCGACAACTGCAACCTCCTGACGGGCACTTCGTGGTCTGGGAAGAGCACCACAGATCTCAAGAGACTTGTTTTCACCTCGTTAAAGCCACCCACAGAATTGGCCTCCATGTTGAGGGTTTTTTAGTAAAAAAATGAAGGAGAGCTGCCCCTGGGGCATGTGGAAGCCGAGCAGGTCCATCCCAGCCATACCTGCCCCAGGCTCCAGCGCTTCTCCCCAGCCACACCTCGCCTGCCGAAATCTTTGTTCCCACAGGGCAAGAAAACGCTGCTGTGGCAACCACCAGACTCCTCCAGGGCGGGGGCACCACCACTGCGCCTCGGGGCTGCAGCAAAGCCATTTTAAAGCTCCCAGAAAAAGAAGATTAGAGAAATGGAAGCCGCAGCACGAGCAAGTCTGAGCTCAGGCAGCGCCGGGGAAGAAGTCTGTGCTCACCACAAGGCTTTGCAATGCACTCACTTTGTAACTTCACCAGCTCCTCAAACACCACCTGAGGCTTTCAACGTGGAGCACAGCAGTGCTTGAGGGCACAGTGATCCTTCCCCCACCAGGAATGAGAGCACATACATGTTCTGTGCGGGACAGGGAAACTGGACACGGCATTTTGGAGTTCACGTGAAGGATTTCTGAATTAGAAATCAAGCCCTCAAGCTTTTCGATCAAGCTTTGTCTACTCCAGGCAGCCAGAGAAGAAACCAACCAGCCAAACTCTGCAGGGGTAAACTTTCAGCCTCCCACGGACATGTGAAGGAACTGCCTGGGAAACAAGCACACAGCTATGTTGTGGTCAGAGTTTAAAACCAAAATCCAATTCAACCAGAAAGCTGCAGGTTGCTTTTGCCCTTTTCCCGAAGGAGCTAAATTCAGTGGCACACAGCAGACAGAGCTGCCCAGCAGAGCCTCCCCCTTATTTGTTATTTTTAGCAATTTAGTCTGACAACGCCTGACAACTAAACAAGCTGAATATAGCAGGAGAGAAGGGGACTATCAGATATTATCAGAGAAAGCACACAGTGATAATCACTTTCTCCACCCCTAATGAAGAATCAATTTTCCATGTCTTTATAACATCATAGAGTTTGTTCTCTTTAAAATGCCACATTTAAAAACAGAATCCATGTAGCCCTACAATGGAAACGGATAACATTTCCTGAAACAAAGCATTGTTCCACCCCTCACATATCATGTTTCCTTAAAAACAAGGGAAGAAAAACATTACTTGGTTTTTCTCCTAATACTGCACAAACATTGCTGAGCTAAAAAGAGTCTGTGCTCATCCCTTTAGAATGCTTTCAAAATAGATTTAACACATACCCCCTGTACCGTGAAACACAACAAGAATTTGATAGTATCAGGGCTGGAAAAATCCAATGGCTCCTGCTAAGCAGGACGTGTCCCATGCCCGTGTGTGAGGCAGCCTCTGGCACCAAATCTCTGGAGGTTTGGGTAAGCCCTGCTGGCACAGCCTGTCAGCAGGCACAGGTGTTGTGCCAGCAAGCCTGGGCAGTTTATTTGGATTCCAAAGGATTATGGACGAGCTGTGAAGCTCAGAATGCTACATGGGTACATATGAAGTCGACAGGCTGAGAAACCTGGGGAGAAGAGAAGGTTGTGTGGATACCTCACAGCACCTTCCAGGATCTGAAGGGGGCCTAACAGGGAAGCTGGAGAGGGACTGGACTCTTCATCAGGAATTGTAGCGATATGACAAGAAGTAATGGGTACAAATTGAAAGAGGGGAAATTTAGGTTAGATATACAGAAGAAATTCTTTATTGTGAGGGTGGTGAGACCCTGGCACAGGTTGCCCAGAGAAGCTGTGACTGCCCCATCACTGGAAGTGTCCAAGGTCAGGTTGGATGGGGCTTGGAGCAACCTGGTCTGGTGGAACATGTCCCTGCCCACAGCAGGGGATGGAATGAGATGAGCTTTAAGGTCTCCTCCAACTCAAACCATTCCATAATTCTATATATACTTACATATTCATTTCCCACACAGCTTTCAGAAGAAGGGTAAAGTTACCTTGGGTTTGCTGCAGAATAACTGACAGCTCTGCACTGTCCCCTCATCCACATCCAGACCCTCTGGAGCTCCCAGAACACAGCTCCTCTCACCAGGTACAACCAACGTGTATTCCAGCCAACATTTATTTTCCCAGCCCTGTACAAGGACAGGTCTGGCTGTCCTTGCTGCTTTGCAAGGAGGCCCAAACCAGCAGTGTCCCATCAATTTTGTGATGCTGCCTTCAAGAAAGCAATGCACCACTGCAGCAGCAGAGATTGGAGAGGGGGAAACTGCCAGAGGGAGAAAAGGAGCTTTCAATCCAGGCACAAAAGCCTTCAGAGTTTTCAAAGTTCACTGACAGCTGTGAATGTCAGGAAACCCAGCTCACACCTTTGGAGCAAGTTAGAGCCACATTTCCAGGAACAGGAACAGGCAGCACTCAGGAGCTCTCCTTGCCACACAGCTGGATGGATTTTCAGCAGAGCTCAGCAGTGCCGTGCTCCTCTGCAAACAGCACTGAGGTGGCAGGGAGAGCATTTCTCAGAATCAGGCATGTATCAAAAAATACATATTTCACAATCCCTTGGCAATAGTGTCATCACAGCAAGGCACAATTGCCTCAAGCTCAGGCTACATGAGTAACCAGATCAGCCACACCGTCCTGGCCCTGGGGGATTTACTCTGACCAGCCTGATTCAGCTATGCAAAATGAGAAATGTGAGTAAGTAATAAGGTAGTTAACAATGTAAAATATAAACCTAAGCTTTAAAACCCTTCCAGCTTTAATACTGGATGGAGGGAAGCTTTAACCTTTCTTGGTTTGGTATTTATTTTACAATGATGCGGTGGAAGCACAAGGTCACAAAGTTTCACATTCTTTCCTGCTTCGGTCACAACTTGTTTTCAGGACAAGCAAAATCCCCTGCTCCTGTGATAAGTACTCTCTGAGCTGGATTCAGGTATTTCCCCCGAAATGTCAGTTGTCTAAGTGCTTGTCCTCCTCCATGGGGAATCCCTTTTCACAGAACTGCCAGAGCCAGCTGGAAGCAGATCAGTTAAAAGAGGGACTTGAATGTTCACTTAAAACAAACTGTCAAACGTTTCGGCAAACTGAGCCCTACTATCCACGATTAAAAAGAAAAACCGACCCACATGGCAACAACCTTTGCACTCCAACCACCTTTTGAGACAGTCACTATTGCTGGGAACTTCAATTCAATGGCCACAACCAGAGACTCAGCAACAGGGAGCTACAAAGCAGAAAAACAACGTTTGCGAAGCAGCCGGGTCCAAGGCTTTGTGTGAGAATGGCAAAGGTTGTAATTTGGGGGGAATTCCATCCATTCTGCCGAACTCAGTGATCAGAAAGTTCAGGAGGTAAGATCACTCCCCATCAGGAACAGGAAGAAACCCAGATGCTGAAGGGCTGAAGGGCACAGTAGCCAAAAAGCTGACCACAGCCCCTGGAGCTGGCAGGGACCCGAGGGGCAGTTTTAAACAGAGGCTGCCCAGCCACACTCCACCTGCTTCCAAACCCAGAGGTGCTGCCATGAAGTCCTCCAACCCCAGTCCCAGGGCTGTCTTTGCACAGTGCCATTGGCATCAGGGATGGCTCCACAGGTGCCAGGATACCATTGCTTTTATCACATAACTGTAAAAATAACTGTGCCTTGCCTCCACACCACCTTAAATATACAACCTGTCCACGGAGCACTCGTTTGCCCTGAGGTCTCATAAGCAGAAACACAAACCCCCTTAGTGTCTGGCACAGAAAACACTCCAGGCAACACAACCCATGGGGATGGGCTTACTCTGCAGCTCCCCAGGCAGGCTGAGTTTTAAGAAGGAATTAAAAAAAATACAAACTCAACTTCTACTTCAGTGTAAGTAGGGGAGAACAGAGACAGAACTGCACAGGTCTGAGCGGGTTTGAGCACTGACTTCCTATTCCTGCTTGTCCCTGCTTAGCTGGTCTCCACACTCACTTTCTCCAAAACACTAAAGGGATAAGCAGCTTAACACAACTCAGCCTTTGCTTTCCCTGTCATTCCCCAAAGACCGATGAACAGGGGTTTGTATTAATGATACTTTAGGAGCATTAAGAAAAAAACCCACACTAACAGCCTTGGGAAAGTACATTTTGAACATCTTCTCTGAAGAACATGCAGCCATGAGAAGATAGTCAAGATTCACTAGATAGCTCGTTTGAACACTGGAACTTGCGCAGACACTACTTTTTATTTCCTAGATATCCTTCTCTGCCTTGAATACTCCAACCAGATAAACACGAGAACACAGAAGTGCTCTGACCACATTGTCAAAACAAAGTCCCATCTCCCATCTCCTCACAGATCCACTCATCAAGCAGATGCAGAGCAGAAGGACAAGACAGGCCTATATGGTACTTCCTCCTCATACTTTCCCACCCTCCAGACATTTTTAGCTCAGGGACTTCCTGAGCAGGATGCCATTTCTACATATTTGGTAATTCTCAATGGATTTCTCTACCATGAATTTGTGCAATTGTCCTGAGCCAGTGTAACCTTCTAATACCCACAGCACTGGCCAAGTTTCACGCCACTTATCTGCAGCAAATGACCACACCAACATCCTTTTGCTTGTTCTAAACCCTGCTCCTACTAACCCCATTTGAATTCCTCACCCCCAGTTTTCATATCAGGACACAGAGTGAACGATCAATCCCTAAAGGTGTGTAGATCTAGGAAAGGAACCAAGTGCCCTGAGTTACTTGTAGGTTACTTGTAACAGGCTCTCTGTTTCCCCTAGTTACAATCCTTGAGAATGAAAGTTAACAGATAAAAATGAGATGTAGCAAATAGTATCTTGTTGACCTTCAGTGTCCTACTTTCAGCATTATTACCTGCCAAAACTTACCTCTAATTCCTTAATTTTCTCTTCTGCTATCCTCTGTTTTTCTAAGAGCTGATTATGAATCACTCCTTTGGGCTGGAGAATAAACCTACAAGTAAAAAAAGCAGAGAGAGAGACAACGTTGGATGTTTTTTACAGCTGTGTGCACCCAGCTACACACCAAGTTAAACTACAGCCACCTCTCCTAAGTGTTCATCCTCATCCCTGTGTTTGGGAATGAGGCAGGAGAAATTCCTCTGCCAGCTCACAGAGGTTGGTCCCAAAGGCTCACCAACCTCATCCATGCTCTTGTAGGATGAACATGGATGCACACATATCTTCCCTTGTCATTCAGTGTCCTTGAATGATCTGGAAGCAGTTCTGGCACACAGACAGGGGAGTCTGTCAGCATCTTCTCTTCAATGGGATTTAAACCAGTTGTTTGCATGCAGTCAAGGAAGACTCTTCCAACAGGTAAAAGCCATTTATCACCTGTGTAGTGCTTGCAAGGTGAAAAGACCTGCACAATAAAACCAAAGCTTTCCACAGGGAAAGGCTGAGGGAGGTGGGGTTGTACAACTTGGAGAAGAACAGGCTCTGGGGAGACCTTACTGCAGCTTTTCGACATATAAAAAGGGCTTATATGAAAGACAGAGAGACTTTTGACCAGGGCCTATCATGACAGGACAAGGAGTAACAGTTTTAAACACAACAGGCCAGGGTTAGGTTGGACATAGGGAAGACAGGTTTTACTGTGAGGGTGGTGAGGCCCTGGCACAGGCTGCCCAGAGAAGTTGTGGTTGCCCCATCCCTGGAAGTGTTCAAGGCCAGGTTGGAGCAACATGGTCTAGTGGAAGGTGTCCCTGCCCATGGCAGGGGGATTGAACTGGATGGTCTGTGAAGATCCTTTACAACCCACACCCTTCTGTGATGTGACAATAGAGAGAGAGGTGCTTCCAGCAGAGAGCCATGGAGCTTTCACAGCTCCAATTCTCAGTCCTTGGCTTTAACCCACCCCTCACTGACCTCCAAATTTCCATGCATTCACCTGCCAAGGTGTTTTCCTGTGGGAGGAGAAGTGGCCATTTTTAACTGGAATTGCGGCCACTGGTTTCCACTTGTTCTGTTTTCAATTGTCAAAGGGATTTGAAAGATGCACCCACAACATCTCAGTCCTTGCAGTCCTGCTCACCAGCAAGCAGAAAGCTGCCTGCCTTGCTCAGAGGAGCCTCTGAAGGAGCACCAGCATTCAAAGCAGCTCTCCAGCACATGGCACTGTCATCCCAAAAAGAGGTAAAGGACAACTAAGTTCAAACGAATTTGAGGAACCCTCCATGGTTGCTTTTCATCCTTCCAGACATAAAGAATGCACAAGCTGCAGATTCAACCCCTTCCCTACTTAGAAAGTCCCCCAGGGGATTTAGAAGGAGCCTCCACGGGTCATACCAATGAGGTCAAGGTCTCCTCCAGCACCAACTAGGGTCAATGTCTTCCTGCCAGGTGACAGGAGCTCGTGCTTGAACAGTTAAAAAGAGCAGCTTTAGACAGGGCAGAATCAGAGTACATTCCCCGTCTGCTACAGAAAATTCTGAAATCAGTTTGCAGTGTCATCTCCCACCACAAATTACATTATTAACGTGTTTGCTCAGGGCCTGGTAAACACAAACACAGATCTGCCACTTGGCTGGAACCCCAACGGGCTCTGCATGAGCAATGCAACAGCCAAAAGGAAAACTCCCTGCCACACACATTCCTGACACGCATGGGAGCAAATCTGTGGTTAATTATAACAGGTTTCCAATTAAAACTCTCTTTGGGGCTGCTATTAACTGCATGTAGTGATCACCTCCTCCTCCTCCTCCCTCTTCTCTCCCTGTTCCACTTCACCTCCTCTTTTCCACAGGAATTTCCGCTGTATCTTTTATGTCGCAATTTTCTCAAATCTCTCCTTGTTTCTTCCCAGTCTCAGCTCATGTTTATTGCTGGCTTTATCATCTTAATTCTCTATCTGCTTCTGTTCTTACCAACACAGTTCACTCAGACTCTCTCTGTCCCCTCAATCTCCCTTTTCCCACTAGGTACACACAGTGGTAATGGTTTGGGGTCCTAGCACACACCAGGTCGCTGAAGTAAAATGCAGGTTTTGCCCAGTCTTGTGAAAATCAAGTCCAAAACCACCCTTCCAGGAAAGAGGAGTTATTTACATTGCTATTAGATGCAGAGCCAGACAAGAGCTTTTTTTCAGGACCATCAGCAACCACATCATTCTGATGCTCTTACCTCGAGCCTACAACACCAGAATAAAAATCATCAGCCTTCACACACACAGCCCTGTAGATTTTGCAGTGAACACTCAAACTTTGCCTGGTAAATACTCAAGTTTTGCCTTATTTCTGCAGCAGCTGCCATTGGTGAAAACCAAAGCTGCAAGATGCCCTCTGTACACAAAGCCATCAGTCCCTTCCCACGTCACCGCTTCCCCGAGCCTGCCTGTGTATGTGAACATTTCCTGAATTATTTCCTTTTTTGTGGGGGCAGCAAAGAAGAATGGAATCCCTTCTCATTTGCTTCCCCAAACTGTACAGCAAGATTGATCATTTTGGTTTCCCTGACGTCCCTGGTCTAAGAAACAACATTCACCACCAACACAGCTTGAGCAATTTTCCCCGTGCTGCAGCTGGGAAGGTCCCGGCGCTGGGCGATCCCGACCGGCTGGGAACAGCCACGGGCACCAAAACCTCCGACAAACAACCGGCTGACTTCACTTCTATTCTGCAAATGTCAACAGCAGTCACTGGGGAAAATATCCTCCCTCCCAGCCTCCTGCAATGCTCTGGCAGACGTGTGACAGCAAATTAAAATGGGATGGCTGAAGTTAGCACTGACGGGACTTGTGCGGGCAGCCGGGCACAAGCACAACCACCCCCGTTCTGGCTGCTATAAAACAGAGGGCTGGAACCTGTGTCCATTCACACTCTTGCTCAGAAGCAGAGCAGATGTCCCTGCCTTGGCCAGCAGCATCCTGCAGGTCTTCACCAGTACTGTCTTCAAGCCACTCCTCTGAATTCCCTGCCACGAGACCACAGAGCCCTCAGCCCAAAGCACACAGATGCTGCCCTGGAAGCTGCCAAAGGCCAGTTCTTTGAAAGCTGAAGCTATAAATCCAAAATCCACAGTTAACTATTTCAATCTGGCTTCACTTGCCAACATAAGAACGACTCAAAAAACTCATCAGTTTTTTAGCATCTAGTTTGGGATGAACACATGATAGGCCAACACCTTGGCCTAAGTTTTCACCTAAGGAAATAATGTGGTTTATGGCAGCACCTGGAAAAAGCAGAAGCTTGTTCTGCTCATTAAGTAAGAAGTGCTGCAGGGCACTTGTAATAAACCAGAGTTTAAATTTAATCTAAATTCCATTTTTCCAATTACCCTAAGTAATACACCAACTTGATGATTTTTTTTTCTCCTCACCAACTTAGAGAAATAGGTCAGTGTCATTCTGCTGCCTGGTTTCAGTTAAATGGAGTTATTTTATTTACAGATTTTCAAGTTCATGGAAGGACCATGGGAAGTTCTGAGGACTCCACAGCTCTGCTGGAGTCCATGGGAGGCTCCCTGAGTTCTTATATGTTGAACTGGGATGGAGTTTAAGTACTTCCAGTCCACAAAATCAAAACCAAATCTTCTCCCAGATAAGTGAGTTCACCCGTATCTGCCTTCTCTCAGTGAAATGTCACAGCACACACTAACCTGTCAAACATGACACCTACACTATCAAACAGTGATTCAAAAACATGTTCAGCACCATGTTCAGTAATTACAAAGCTTAGAAACGCTCACCTCTTCACACAGGAACTTTTATACTGTTGTTAAATTAACATCAGAAATATCTGGGTCAGAATGGACAAGTTCACCCCATCACAGCACCAAAACCTGTCTGAGTTCAGGAAGTGTTCAGACAATGCTCTCAGGCACACAGCATGATCCTTGGGGTGTCCTGTGCAGGGCCAGGAATTGGACTCAGTGATCCTAAGGGATACCTACCAACTCAGCATATTCTAGGATTCAGCTGGCCACCCATTTCAAAGGGAATGGCCAGTAAAAACAGAGCAGGATTTGCCCCATTCCAGAGAACTGATAATTTTTCCAATGTTCCCAGATAATGGTAAAAACAAAACAAAGAAAATTAGAAAAGGAAACTGCAGAGGAGTGGGGTCCCCGAGGACAGCAGTGTTCAGCCAAACCTGGGCTGCCAACAAGAACAGCTCCATGGAGCAGAGCCAAGAGGTTGCCAGTTGGCTGTACCTACGTGCTCCAGTCTCCCAGTGACTTCTGGTTCTCAAGTGCAACACGAGGAACAAAAATAGAGCACGAGGGAACTGAAAGAGAAACCTCGCTCTAAATATTCCCTCTTGTTTCTATTTTCCTCCCTCTGCGAGCTCCACATCAGGAATTTTGTTTCCCCAAGGCAGAGAAAGGGGTTTATATACGCTCTCTGAGGCTCTTGTTTCCTTCTGAAGGGACCTCTTACCCCTTCCCAACTGTAATTTTCTTTTATAATTTTAGTTTGATCAGTGTTTATACTGCACTCCCCAATGCTCTGGCCCAAATGGCCTTCGGGCTCTCATCAGGTCAGCAGTGCTGCCCCACTCCATCATCTGTCTGCTCCTTTGTGTCACACATTCACACCCACAAAGTGATGTTACCCCAGTGTAAGTAATTCCATAACTCAGCCATAACGTTTGCACCAAAATGTACTGTTTATTTGACTTTGAGACATAATATTAGATACTCGAAGTTTTGCCTCTTAATGAATGAGGTTATGGAGATGTTTGTTCAGCACACGCCACTCTTCATTATGACATACAAGTCATTAAAGTTATTAAAGGTGGAGTCCCAGTGATGCTCATAGTTCACGTTTTCCATGAAGAATCCCTACTTTCTTACTTGCAACTGCAACAAACTTCAGCCTTTATGCCTTTATGCCTGGAGCTTTCAGCCTCTCCCTTGCTGGTTTAGGGAACATGGTTCCAGTGTCTCTCCTGCCTGCTTTGCCAGTGCAAGAGGCAGTTTGTGTTCAAGCATTAAAACCAGGAGGGAAGGAGC